GCGGCAAGCTAGCGAAAATTACATTGGTGTCGGAGTTAGACACATAAGCATACGCGCCACTCGACTCGCTCGTGAATAAGAAAAGCAAAGCAAAAAGTCGAGTTCGCTGAACACCAGGCCTTCCCTGTGCTAACCGAAAGCTCTCTTGCCGCTCATGTCTGGTCTCAAGCGATTGGTTCTCGGGCGAGAGGCCAGACATGAGTGGCGAGAGAGCACGCGAAAGAGTAAGACATCCGGCAGGATATCTATAAGCGTGGGCGGAGTCGCTTATACAACTTTGTCCTTCCCGCGCTCCCTTTTTGATGACACGAAGCTTATACAGGGCTCTTCGCTGCGGTTCCCACTATCTTCCCTTGGAAGAGCTCACCATCAGATGTTTAGAGGTGAGTAGGCCGCGCCTTTAAGGCGGCCCGAATCGATCCCTGCACCACTAAGATATTCGACTGCAAGCTTCTACTGAGCCGAAGAGCCAGATAATAACTGCTCACTCGCAGATGCACCATGCCTACGTAGTGGATAAAGCCTGAGAAGAGAGGGAATGTGTAGATCGCAGCAAATGTGGCCCCTGAATGCACCTGCCTCTGAAAGAACCGCTTCTGGTGATTAAAGAGAGCCCACGATCACTTACAATTATCCGAGCTCTTCGTAAGGAGAGGTAGTCTGGACCGTAAGAACAACCCTGTATAAATTTAACGTCAGAAAGGAGTAAGGTAGCGGCAATAAGGTACAAGGTTGCGCAGAAGACTCCGCCTACTTTATAGATGTCTTATCTGCTATCTTGCTCGCTGTTTTCTCTGGCCTCTCGCTCAATATGCTCATCAGTTCTTTATCTCTCGCTTGGCCCAATAAGGGAGTTACATATATTGAGCGTTTTTGATGGTTTCTTCTCCTTCTTTTCTTCACGAGAGTCAGCTAGTACATACGCGTCTGTTTTTCATACCGCTACCTACGAACGTTTAAGTGGGTGGTTGCGAATACTACCTATAACCGATTATCAGCCACCTGGGGTCGAGCTACGTAGCCTTGCCTCTAAGAGGCTGTCCTTCATCAGTAAAGGCGGCCCTTCAGTGATGGAAGTTTTTGGCAGGGCACATCGTTGTTGGGGAATCCCCAATAGGGGAGTAGTATTTGGCCGCCAGGAGAGGGGGTCGTATTTGGGCTTGGGAAAATTTATTTTGATAGTTGATTTTCTCCGTTCACGAGCGTGTAAAGGGGGGGTGGGGGGTCGTACTGTGGTTTTTACTGTTGAGAGGGGCGGTGTATCTATCGTTTTTTGGCGTTATAAGACTGGGGTGGGAGTGGTGGTTGACTTTTGGTGATTTTACTGTTTCATGCATACTATATGCCTATATGCCCCCTCCCCACCCCCTCGACATTTTTGGTGAAAATTTAGGGCAATGGTTCTCGGGAAAATTTATGGAAAAAAGTTGACGCGGAAGTTGGGGAAAATGCTGAATTGGTAGAAGGGTGGTTCGTACTGTCTCGCCGGTTATTCCGTATTTCACATGTGCGATTTTCCGCCCCCCCCTCCCCGGCGTGACGGCTCGATTAGATGCAGGAGGGCGAGGGGTGGGAGGTGGGGGGGGGCGGCTCGTACCAACTCTACCACAAAAGGGGCGATGGGTCTACAGACTCGACTCAAACCCAACAATTGATGTGCCCTTGTCTTTGAGGCATCGAAATACTCGAAAGATGGAATGAAGTTCTGCGATCGCCTGTTGTTGGGTCCATCTTGTACACCCCCTTATCGGCGTATCGGAAATTCTTGAGCATTAACAAAAAAGCTCTTACCAGGAAGGTCGTTCAGGGCGTGCCCCGCTTTTTCAAAACGGTTTATTGCACTTTGTAGGACCTTGCCCATGAACCGTAAAAGTGGGCCGTTTTTGCTGTGCGGCTCCTGGAATGCCAAAAAGGAGTGAAAGTTACATCTATGTACCCCCATACGAGGGACGTTAAGCGCTATACTGGCGCCAAATTGCGTCGACCTCGAAAATAAGTGTCAAAATCGTAATCAGGACCATCGATTACCCTTATGGACGGACTTCCAGCCAAAATTTTTTTTTCGATTTCTTGGGTTTTGGTGGACCATTTGGTCGGCAGTAGTGACCGAAGTATCCCATCTTCGTAAAGACGATGACGAAACGACGACGTAGCAGGCCGCCGGGCAGGACAGCAAACCTGGTGGAATGCCTCCCTTTCCTTCCTCTTTGCATGAATTTCATCGGCATTGTTACTTTTATCTTTGGATATTAATAAAATAGGGGGGGGTCCCTTTGGCGAGGCACTGTAGACTTCTATAGAAAGACTGTCGGGCACAACCCAACGCACACACCCAAAAAAGTCGAAAAAAATTTTTTTGGCCGAAAGATTGTTTACAGGGGTAATCGATGGCCCCGATCATGATTTTCACACTTATGTTCGGCGTAATCAGCCTATCATCCGCCGACGTAATTTGGCGCCTGGGTAGCGCTACACATCCCTTACTTGTGTGTAGCAAACGCATTCATTGGGAGAAACATGTCACTCCATATTAGCGATAAATGGCGTAACAGCCACACGCTACAAATAAGTTCCATATTCGTGATTCGGGCATGGTCTGACCTATAAAGGTCAACTTTCAATTACGGTCTTGCTTAATGGTATGTAAAACCTGTAATAATTGAATAGCACTGATTCATGGAGTGTTCCCATTTTGAAATGTGCCCATAAATGGCAGTTATCGAATGCATACTTACGCACAGACATATTTGAACGCGAAAACAGCAAAACATAAAAAATGCAAAAACTCGCACGCCGAGGGGAGTTGAACCATCAACCCCACCCCAACTGTGGATCCGGCTGAGAATCCTTCACGCTATCCACTAGGCCATCCGATCGTTGATGCTGAACGTTCCTCCGATCGTTGAAGAAACCATTCCATGAAGCCGTTCACGCTTGATTACGTGCCACAAGTAAGACCCCATACCCCAACTACTTTTCTCTTCGATTCCGATAGCACCTTTATAGGGTCCCTCCATTCAGCAACTGGTCAAAGTTTCAAGCGGTTTACAGCTCGTAGAGGCTCAAAACAATCAGTTTCTATAGGTTTCTTTTCGCTCCTTTTTTGGCATTCCAGGGGCCGCACAGCAAAAAAACGAACCCCCTTTCCTTACGATTCTGATGGCGCAAAGCCGTAGAAAGGCACTAAAGCCGTTTCGAAAAGCGTGGGCACGCCCTGAACGACCTCCCTTTAAGAGTTCAGATCGAAGGAGGTTGTAAACCTGTGTACGAGCTTTTGAGAGTAGTGAAAATGAAGTGAAGCTGTTTTTCTTCAGTTGGAAGGTACTCCGAGCCCAGTAAAGAAACCAGATGTCGCTAGCGAAAAAGTAGAACCTACACAAAAAAGCAGTAGCGTTCGCAGCATCAATGATGCCGAAGCTATGGAGAAAGAAAGCACTGGTGAAATTTTTCGGCAGGTACATCTTGTAAATCATAGTTGCATCCATGAGTACTGCTGGGAGAACTAACATTTGCAGCGATGGGGTTCAGAAATTGTGTAAATTTTAGCACTTCGACTTTGATTTTTCAGACCCTCATACCATTCCTCGTTGGAGGATTTGGTTCCACTCTATGCGGGCTACTTGTCAATCGCATTCAGAAAACAGAACTTGTCTGTAATGTGAGTCACATTCAGGTTGTGAAGGAATAATTAGTTGGTCGCGATCTTTGAAGGTGATGCAAGGCTCAGACACTCGCTGTCGGCTAGCCTTATGGCTAGTTGGGAAGCCCACTAACCATAAGATATTAACCAGTCCCACAATCCATTTTATAGTTAAACGCGTACTCAAATAGTACAGTAGAAGAAAATAGGTACGTGTTAAAGGCAGGCTCCGCGTTCAAAAATGGTTAGGCTGCGTTGCAGCACAGTCCACCAGCGTCTAGCAGCGTCCACTAGCGACCACTAGCGTTCTGAGCGTCCGGCAGCGTCAGCGACAAGGAAAGTATCGATCTAACCTCTGCCAGCGTCTACCAAGGTCCACCAGCGTCGACCAGCTATATCGGCACCTATACCTCCCCAGCCCTCGAGACGCTGGTGGATGCTGGTAGACGTTGGTGGCCGCTACCACGAAGTATGAACGCAGCCGGAATTACGTGGCTCAGATAGCGTAACAAATAGCAAGTGACTCAGCAGTGAAGAAAAAAGCAGCAAAAACCGCAGGAAATGAAATGTAATAAATAAATGAACTCAGGTTGTGCGAGCATAAGGCAAAAGAGGGCGTGGTCGCACAAGCTCTCCCTCGTCGGTATCAGCTGTTTTCCCTTATCGCCTCACTCACTGGTCGGTGTTGAGAGATTCAGAAGCGGAACGACCGTACCATCAGGCGACCATTAAAAATGAAGGTTCGGCGTTTCGGGAGTCAGTGGGCGGGGTGGCGATTACCTCATAAGTGAGCGGTGCTTTCATCTCGTATTTTAAACTGCGAAACTAGTACATCCTCCTTCCCTGTATGGAGGGCTACCATATCTAAAGAAAGAGTGGAAACCTCAACGAACCTGCTCTGCCATCAAGTGTACAGTGTACTGGGACCACCCTGGAGAATGTGGGCCAGCCTACTATCAAGGAAGGATGCCCATAAGACCAGAGCACGTCCTGCCGCTAAAGGAAATTTTCGTAAAATACGGAAAGCACGACTCCTTCCCAGATCCCGTCGTCCAATGCGACCCCCTTCCGCGTGCCGCCTTACCAAAAACTTCCTTCTCTTTTTGGAAATTTCAGAAAATTTCCAGGTCTCCCAAAGCTTCTTTCTCGAACGGGGAAAAAGGCGGCCGTGAGTGGCAGGAAGGTGGGGGACAGGAAAATGTTACTAAACATGAAAGCCACGAAAAATCAAATCTTCAAAGTCCTCACACAATACTCATGCAGAAAACGTGATGGGCATTGCTCAAATAACTCTCTGCTATCGTTTTAAGATTTTTGCACCCATACGTACTAGGACCTTATGAAAGCAACCTTTTATTCACAACTTTGATCTACACTAGTCGCTATCGATAATTCCTTTTACAGGTTCCTCATATGATCGCCATTTTTGTGCCTTTGCAAGGTATGAAAGGTAATTTGGACATGACATTCACATCTCGATTAGGTACCATGGTAAGGAATGCTGTTTTTCTAGTCTTTCGTTTGTTTCCCATAAAAAATGTGGCAAAGTTTCGCCGCCTAACCGAAATATCGCTTTACCTAGGCTCATCAAGGGCGTCTACAAAGTCCGGGATATATGAAGCGAATACTCATAAACTTAGCTCTATTACAGGTAAGTCACCTTGTAATCACCCTTTTCCGATAAAAGTGAGAGCGGATTTGCAGGGGCAAGGCATTTTCATTAGCCTCTTCGCAGTGCTAATGTCTTTTGTGTTGGCAAGTTTATATGAAGAGGGCAAGAGTCATCCACCAGTCGACGACTACCTTTTCCTAGGAGCAAACTCTCTATTCTCTATTTGTATTGCGAATGCGACTTCAGCAGTCGGTGATTTTTCAAAAACTATTCAAATTAAAAGCGAGCAGCGAAGCGATCCTTCTTTGCCAAAAAAGGTTCGCGCCGATGCTAGTAGTTTGGTCAAAAAAGTTCTGTTAAGCTTGGCAAGAGGTACTGCGACTGCTTGATGTGCTGACTCCAAACTTGGATTTTTTTCTGATTTTATTTCGATCATGAGGCCAAAAGCT